TAGGTTGATTCAAATATTTTGGAAAGCAATATAGCCATGCCTATTAAACACAAGGAATTGTGCAGTACCCTCTGATCTAATCATCTGACTTTGTAAAATGTGTCCTTAAAAAGGTGAGCTTAGGCTGGGCATGGTGACTCATGCCTGTAATGCCAGTACTTTGGGAGGCTGAGGCGAGGAGGGCGAATCACTTGAACCCAGGAGGTAGAGGTTGCAGTGAGCCAGGACTGTGCCTCTGCACTCCAGCCTGGGCAACACAGTGAGACTCTGTCTCAAAAGGTAAGCCAAGAAAAGACAATCTTTGTGCATCTTGAGAAGAGGTATAGAAGCTAGGAGTTGTTGAATGGTCACTCATGCTAAATACTTTGGATGCATCGTCTCATTTAATCCTCATGACAGCCCTTGAAGTGTCCCCATTTTACAGGTGAGAAAACAAGGCTCAGACAGATTTGTAACTTGCCAGCACCACAAAACTTGAAAGTGGCAGAGTCTGCATTTAAATTAGGCATCTGTCTAATTCAGACTAATCATATAATAGTGGAAAAACAGTTAAATCAATTATGAAATGCTTTGCAGACATAGGTGTCATTGTATGGGGAAATGCTCTGCTCAGTGGGCAAGGCATGATATAAACCATAATTGTTAAGAATTTGTGCATGGACTAGGTACGAATACAGACAAATGAAAAGCTAACTTGTGACAGAATTTGTTTAAATAAGCATTATTTTTAAACTGCTCTTTAAAAAAAAAAACTTGTTATTTTTTTGTTTAAAAGTATATACTTTAGCATATTCATACTGTATATTCAAATATATTATTCATACCCCTATATATTTCTACATGGCATATGAGCTGTTCCATCATGTCTAGGTTCATCCTTTGTTCTGTCCTTATCACTTACCTCTTAACTCCTGAAAACTCCTCCCGTCATGATCCATCACCAGCAAAACACCTTATCCTTAAAGCCTTCTCTGAAATTACTTTTATCTTGTTAAACCCAAATTTGCATCCCTGAGAGAAGCCCTTTCAGGTGGCAGCTGTATTTCTTGCCCCAAAGTAGAGGAGTGTAAGTGGTCTCTTTATTCTTCCTTATCACCTTTACCATTCCATTCCGCTGTTCCCTAAAAACTCTTGGCTTTAAACTGCTTGTGCATCAGGATTTAAACCTCTTGTTCATCAGTCTATATGACCCACAACCCCATCATTGTTAGTTACCTACCAAGCCTAGTATTCTGTCCTCATTGTGCCATCATTTTAGTTCCTGGCTCGCTGTTATTCTCTCCAGAAAGACTCCTGTCCTCATCAAGGAGGATTTTCCTTGGAAATATGATCCTTTTAATACCTTTGGGCTTCTCAATCCTTTAACTGTTTGCCATCTCAGCCTTTAGCAGACATGGTCATTCTTTAGACCACATCATCACCAATAACCTTCCATTTTCTCAACTGCATGCACTGACTTTTCTCCTCTGCATGGCTTTTGAGCTCACTCCCTCTACGGTCCAAAAATCAGCTCCGTCAAAATCTATGGTCCATTGATCTCACTACGTTCTTCCTGGACCCACTTCCCTCCTGCCCAGGGTCTTGTGCCCATTTTATCCAGCTTAGGGTCCATGTCCAGGTGACATAATTGCCCCCTGTAACATCCTGACTCCTTTGCCTCTCTCACTTCTCATGTTCACTTGGCAGTCTCAGCTCTGGCTGAATCTGAATCTCTGGCTACTTTGTGCCAGCCTCTGTGCATCTGACCTTGGCTGGACAAAAGCACAACTGTACTCTGTGGTTTTACTTTTAATTAATGACCGTGAACCTCATGTAGGAACTTAAAAAATGATGCCCAGCAGTCATATTATGTTGTTCACTCTGATTGGATTTTCTAACAACCTTCTCCTCTTTCCTTAACCTTCTAACACCTCCTCTCTCAACCTTATTCACAACTGATGCCTTCCAACTTTGGCTGGAAAAATTGGAAGCTTCCACCAGCTTCTGCTGCTTAATCTCTTGGGGCTGGAAATGAACAGCCTGTGCTCCTGTCTGAAGACAGTTCTTCCATTTCAGCATCAGATGCACCTTCTCTGCCTGCTCAATGATTGGGTTCCAATCATTCCTCCTGTCATCATCTTGTCCCCCTCTGCTGGTGATTCCCATCAGCATCCAAGCATGCTTGTTTCTTCTCACATCATACTAAGAGAAAATAAAAACATTCCCTACATCTCACTGCAGCTTCCTCTCAGTAGACCCTGTTCTATCTCCCTTCTCTATTTTATAGCTAAACTCCCAAAATATCGCCTGGTTCCCATTCTTGTTATTTCTTGTTTCTCTCTTCCCAGGCTGTCTTCAATCCAGTTCAGCCAAGCTTTTAGCCCAGCTCTTCTGCTGCTCTTGTTGAATTCCTCAATCAAGTAAAAGTTGCTGAATCACATGGTTTTCATTCCTCATTTCACTGTCTCGTCAGTAGCATTTGACACCCTCTCCCCGCTCATGGGAGGAATCAGATCACCTGGCTTCTTGGATGTACCCCTCTTGGTTTTCCTCTCACTCCCCTGGCCAGTCCTTCTCAGTCTCCCGGGACTCAAAACTTAGACCTCTTGTCTGTCCACACTCAAGCCTATGGTCATCATTATCAAAATGTCATGGCTTCAGATAGCATCTGTATGCTGATGACTGCCAGATTTATTATTTCCAACCAGATTTCTCTCCTGATCTCCACACTTCTGTGTCTAAGAACTTTTTGAACATCTCTGTTTGCGTGTCCAATAGACATCTTAGACTTACCTGTCCAGACTGAACTCCGGATCCTCCCTTCACCCTCCAAACCTACTCCATCTTGTCCAGTGTCAGCTCTGTTCCTTCAGTCGCTCAGGCTGGAGTCCTCATACTTTCTCACCACTTCCCAACCCCTGCCATGACATACCCGAATCATTGTAGGAGTCTTCTACCTGGTGTCGCTGCCTCTGTGCCTTGTACCTTTATGGTCTTCTCAACATGGCAGCTGGAGGGATCCTTTTGTAGCCTTGGTTAGATCATCTCCTCTCCACTCAAATCCCCATTCCGCTCAGGTGAAGAGTACAATTCTTTAAAAGCCATATACAGTCTGACCGCCTGTTACTGCTCTTTCTTTTCCCTCTTCCCTTAACCCCACTTGAGCCACAGTGGCAGCACACCAGGCAGGTACCCACCCACCTGAGGGTCTTTGGGCAGGCTATTGCCTGGTCTTACAATTCTGAGGCCTCCACCCGCAACTATCAAGCATGACCCCCGCCTAACCTACACCAAAGGACATCGTCTCAGCAATACCAACTGGTCTCCCTCCACTTTCTATCCCCCACACCCTGCCCTATTTTTATAGCACCTCTCACCTTCTGCTATGGTATACACTTACTCATGTATTATATTATCCATCTCCTGCTGGAATGTAAGCTTTGGGAGGACAGAGATTTGTGTTAATTCCATTAATTGACGGATCACCAGCATTTAGAATAATGCCTCCACCTAGTAGATGCTAAAAAACTGTGTTGAGCTTACATTCATTGTGGCACTGTTTACAAAAGCAAAGACCTGGAACCAACCCAAATGCCCATCAGTGATAGACTGGACAAGGAAAATGTGGCACATATATACCATGGAATACTATGCAGCCACAAAAAACGATGAGTTCGTGTCCTTTTTAGGGAAATGGATGAACCTGGAAACCATCATTCTCAGCAGACTGACACAAGAACAGAAAATCAAACACAGCATGATCTCACTCATATGCAGGTGTTGGACAATGAAAACACATGGACACAGGGAGGGGAGCATAACACACTGGGGTCTATTGAGGGGGACTAGGAGAGGGACGGGGCTAGGGAGGTTGGGGAGGGATAACATGGGGACAAATGACAGATACACGTGATGGAGGGGTGGAGGCAGCAAACCACGTTGCCATGTATGTACCTATGCAACAACCCGGCCTGATCTGCACACGTACCCCAGAACCTAAAGTACAATTTAAAAAAAAAAAAAAACTTTAAAGCCAAAAAAAAAAAAACTGTATTGAGAATATGAGTGAAAGTTTTCCTGTTTCTGCCTCAGAGATCAGCCCCATGATAGTTTATAATTCTAGAGTATTATATTGTAGCCAGGATGCAGAAAATAACTACTAGGAAACACTGTATCCCTGACATGATTGCATATGGTCTTTTATTCTAAACTGAAAACAGTTTCTCTCGAATGTTACAGCAGTGTCACAGATACTGAAAATGTATGACAACATGATAGAGCCTTGATATTTTAGGAATATGTTCAGAGTTCTTCATAAATCCTGTCAATTGTGGAGACCATGATATGGTCTACTCACATGAATTTCATATATAGCAGTAAAAAGAAAGAAGGGAGCCACGTGGAGCTCCGGAGGCCAAGTGGCCGGCGGGCTCAGTGGTTGGGAGGAAGCTCACCAGACAGCTTAGTGGCAGCTCGTGAGCCCTAGACATTACCTGCATATTGTTGTAATCAGGAATATGAGTTCTGTGAAAGCCAGCTATCCTTTATATCGTTTTGTTCTATTTGCAAAAGAAATTTAAATACTAATTTTAAAAAGTTAGCTCTCCCAGGCTTCTGGTTTTAGAATGTAAATGTGTGGTTCTTATTACAACCAATGGGCAAGGTAACTCCACCGTTTAACTTACTGTTAAAAACAACTATTTATAACAAAGTGAGTTTTCACTTTGAGATCAGACAGCAAGTAAACATTCATTCAGTTTGATTTTGGACATCTGGGAATAAACTGAATATAAACAAAAAGATTGCATTTGTTTTCACTTTTAAGCTGATTTTAAAATTATATCTATCTTTCTTCTAGTTTAATGGAATCTGCCATAATGACTTTCTTTAAAAAAAAAATTAATGATAAACAGGAATCTTTGACAAAGAAAGGCTGGAGTAAAAAGAGAGGATGCAGTTGCCGTGGTAACAGCAGTCCAGCATAAACATCTCAGATCTCTTCTGTTTATCATGTGTTTTAGGGCAATTCAAGCTGCTGGAACAAGACCGAGATATAAAGGAGCCAGTGCAATATTTCAACAGTGTGGAGGAGGTGGCTAAGGCATTTCCTGAACGCGTGTACGTCATGGAGGATATCACATTCAACGTGAAGGTAGCTCTTGAAGCACCAAATATTTATGCTCACACTAAAAATAATTTAACTTTTAAGTCTGGATGTACACAGTAAGTGTTCATCTGGGCTCCAAGGAAAGTTTCATCTTCCAAATGGCAGTTAGCGGCAATAGCCAAACCACATGCATTGTAGCTGACCTGACTCCCTGACTGCTTCTTTATTTATTAGCATTATCTTTTGTTAGAATTTAAAAATGATCTCTGAATTCAAATAAGTGATATGTTTTATAATTTGGACATCATTTCCCAATATGTAACACTTTAGCAAGATCTCCACTTCTGGGAGCAAAAGGGATATGATGAAACTAAATAATTCCAAATACTTAAAGAAAGAAAGAGAGGAAACATAAAGAGAAAGAATAGGTTTCTAAGCATTGCTTGAAGTCAGCATGTATTCATTCCACTCTTTGTGGAATATCTATTTCACCATACACAGGGAAGACTGATGTTGCCCAGAGAAAAGCTATATAGTGTTTGTTGTGCTCCATTTGTTCTGCCTTCTTAAAGGGACAGTGCATTCCCCCTCTAGATGATGAGCAAGGTCCTTTGACTAGACTTGCTGTTGAAGAGGAACTGACCAGAGAAGCAAGCCACCAACCAGGCCCATCCTATTACCTGCAAATCCTCTACATTTTCTCCAGCAATACCCACAATTACACTAAAACATTTTAGAAAGTGTTCATATTGAAGGAGTTTTCTAAATCATGTTGTCAGAACATTTCAAGATTTAGGGGGGCAAAATTCCCGTTTCTTAATCTACTCTGTGTGAAAAACAGACTGCATGGTGTCTTGGCCCGAGAATGCAGCAGTATCTTTATGGATGAGTCACTCCACCCACACTCTTCAGGAAAGGGAGAAAATGCCCAGGACAGCCCTCTTATTGGAGAAATGGTTCTGCCCATTTCATTGTCTAAGCTAAGTCATTTCTTCTTCCATTTCTGAAATACAACTGCTTTGGTCTACACTCTTTAGTTTTATTATTAAGATGAGTGAGATTTTATATTTGTAAAATCTTTACTAAGTAAATTATGCTTATGTACAAAAATATTTTATTTTCAACTTTTTTAGTGGCTCTAATAATGAGCGTTCAGGTCAGCTAGACAACTTGCATTTATTTACATTGAAAACTTGTGTGAACATGTTCATTTTTAAACATACCTAGACTCGTTGGTCAGAAGTTAATCAAATCCTATTCCATTCATGTTTTGATATGACTTAAATCTCTCCCTAAAACTTATATTTAGAAGTCTCTAAATGAAAAAAGGAAAGTGTTTTTAGAAAGGAAAGTTAGCACTTTTAAACTCCCTTCTAGAAAAATATTACATTTGCTAATAAACATAGAAATCAAATGTAAATTTTAAGTGACTTTTAAAGATTTTCTCCATTATTAAAATGTAACATTCCATCTTTTGTCACATTCATGTAAACTATTTTTTAAAATGCCTCTAGCAGCTTTTCTTGATGAGTTTGTATTAAATCAGAAATGACTGAGAGGATAATACTGAAATTTATACATTTTGTTAGAATTCTTTTTTTAAAATAGAATACCATGACTGAATGTATTCATTAAAATGTGTTTAACAGAGAATGTCATTTAAGAGTTCAAAGGCACAGTTAAGTGTGTGAAATGTGAGCTTCTAGCATCCATAAAACTAATTGGATTTAGGTTGAGTTCTGTGCTGTGCAAACATAAATATTTAGTATTTCTAGTCTGCTACTTACGAAGTTTTAAGGTGCCATCACCTCTAGCTTGCATGAATCGTTAAAACATTATTCAATTCTTTTCAAATAAGGATTGTCATAGGAACCTCAGGAAATTTAAATAAAGAAATACACAAAAGGTTTTGTGCTTAGTGATAAACACACAAGTAAGTAAATAAACTAAGGATAGTTATGGAAAAGTTCATCTGGATACTACCAGAACCAAAAATAAAGGCTGGAAGTCATGGCCTTCTTTAATTAAAAATAAACTGGATTAAGCCAGGCATGGTGGCTCACTGTAATCCCAGCACTTTGGGAGGCTGAGGCAGGTGGATCACCTGAGGTTAGGAGTTCAAGACCGGCCTGACCAACATGGTGAAACCTCGTCTCTACTAAAAATATAAAAACTAGTTGGGCATGGTGGCATGTACCTGTGGTCCCAGCTACTCTGGGGGCTGAGACAGGAGAATCACTTGAATCCAGAAGGCAGAGGTTGCGGTGAGCACTGCACTCTAGCCTGGGCAACAGAGTGAGACTCTGTCTCAAAAAAAAAAAAGACTGGATTATCATGTCTGTGTGAGAACTGACAATTATGCAGAGGAGGAGTTAAAGAAATAATTTTGGTTATTCTCATGGAGAAGGTGGGAAAAAGCCAAAAACAATACTCTTCATTCATAAATGTAGCTATTATCCAAGAAACAGTTTTTAAAAGAAAGATTTCACACCTCTTTAGAAGAGTTCACCGTCTCTCCTATACTTCAGATACAGCATAAATTAAACCAAAAGGATAAACCATTGAGGAAACCACTTGAAGTTAAAATTGTTAGTTACCTGGCATTATAATAGTCAAAAGACATAATTATTGTTGGAAATAAATATACATATGTACCTTCATATATGTATTTACAAATCCAAACTGAAGTTAATCATAATAAGAATATAAAATAAAGCAAAAGTATTGAAAGAATGGGAACTCTAGTTCTGGGTTTCTTGCTAAACTGTAAGCAAAATTTTAAATTTAATGGCTGCTACTAGTACTATTTATACATTTGTTTAAAAATGAAACATTCTTTTTCATTTGGAACTAAAAATTGTTTTTAAAATATACCTCAATGTGTTTAAAACTATCTGCCTGAATGCCCCCATATTGATTAACTGCATGAAATGAACTCATATGTACGTAAGTGTTTAATTCTTTAACCAGCAAATATATTTTGAGCACCTACTGTATGCCCAGCACTACTCCAGGCACTGGGGGTAAATAGTGAATATGTAGGTCCCTCTCTGCATGGAGATTACAGTCTAGAAGGGAAAGTAGACAATAAGTACATAAACGAATATCAGTACTACCTCCAAGTAGAGATATCACGAATCAGTTGGATCTACAGGTCTGAAACTTAGAGAAAGTCTAGGCTCAGAATATATGGTTGGGACTCACCATCTTCTGGAAGATGTTTGAAGCCGTGGGTCTAGTTGAGTTTACCGAAACCAATGGTTCTCAGCCAGGAGTGACTTTGTTCTCTAGGAGACATTGGCAGTGTCTGTGCACAGTTTTGATTGTCATGACTATGGGGTGGAGGATATTACTGTTATCTGGTGGGTAGAGGGTGGGGATGCTACTGAACATTCTGTGATGCACAGGACAGGCTCCCATAACAAAGGATTATCCAGTTTAAAATATCAGTAGTGCCAAGGTTGAGAAGCATTCATCTAGATTCAAGATTTAAAAAGAGAGGAGGTCTGAGGACTGCGCCCTGGAGTGCACCAGCATTTAGGGAATCTAGAAGGGAAGACTGGATGGGACAGCAGTAAGGTAGAAGGATGGCCAGGAGCAAATGGTGTCCCAGAAGCCAAGTTTCAAGATGGAATGAGCAACTGTATCAAATGCTACTTAGCAATTGAATTAGATGAGGACTGAGAACTAACCATAAAATTTAGTAAAATGTGAAGATCATTAGCGGCCTCGATAGGAGGTGAATGATAATCAGCTCAGAGACTGGAAAGTGAGTTAACCAGTACGGTACAGTGGGGTGGTCCTAGAGTTTTGTCATGGTAAGTTTCAAGTGAAATTACTTAGCACCACCCTTTCTTTCTTCCAGCCATTTTCAGCTTCCTAGATGCAGGCATAGAGTAGACAAAGGGAGCTGACCTTAATCAGAGTTAAGGCTCTCCCAGTGAGTGTAGCAGAGATCAGCAAATGGGTTGATGGAGTGTGCCTTAGAGTGAGTGACAGGTCGCACTGAGCCATGGAATCCTCACTGAGGGCTGGGTGCGATGGCTCATACTTGTAATCCTAGCACTTTGGGAGGCCAAGGCAGGATAGGAGTTCGAGACCAGCCTGGCCAATATGGCGAAACCTTATCTCTACTAAAAACATACAAATTAGGTGGGCGTGGTGGTGTGCACCTGTAATCCCAGCTACTTGGGAGGCTGAGACAAGACAATTACTTGAACCCGAGAGGCAGAGGTTACAGTGAGCCAAGATCCTGCCACTGCACTCCAGCCTGGGTAACAGAGCAAGACTCCATCTCAAAAAAAAAAAAAAAAAGAATCCCTACTGGGTAACCAAGTGTGAATATAAGTGTAGCCCCAATGAAAATGGAGACAGCAGATGCTGGAGAGGATGTGGAGAAATAGGAACACTTTTACACTGTTGGTGGGAGTGTAAATTAGTTCAACCATTGTGGAAGACAGTGTGGCGATTCCTCAAGGACATAGAAATAGAAATTCCATTTGACCCAGCAATCCCATTACTGGGTATATATCCAAAGGATTATAAATCGTTCTACTATAAGGACACGTGTACACGAATGTTCATTGCAGCACTGTTTACAATAGCAAGGACCTGGAACCAACCCAAATGCCCATCGACGATAGACTGGATAGGGAAAATGTGGCACATATACACCATGGAATATTATGCAGCCATCAAAAACGATGAGTTTGGGTCCTTTGTGGGGACATGGATGAACCTGGAAACCATCATTCTCAGCAAACTGACAGAGGAGCAGAAGATCAAACACCGCATGTTCTCACTCATAGGCGGGTGTTGAACGATGAGAGCACATGGACAAAGGGAGGGGAGCACTACACACTGGGGTCGGTTGAGGGGAAATAGGGGAGGGACGGTGGGGGGTGGGGAGCTGGGGGGGGATAGCAGGGAGAGAAATGCCACATGTAGGTGATGGGGAGGAAGGCAGCAAATCACACTGCCATGTGTGTTCCTATGCAACAATTTTGCATGTTCTTCACTTGTACCCCCAAACCTAAAATACAATA